TCACTCCTGGGTAGAGGGTGGGGGCCGGTTATGTCACTCACAAGCTCTCTAACCTCCATTCTTTCCACCGCGACCTTTTTTCCTTGTGTATGTGCTTATTATATATATGGGGGGGTGCTCTGTTATTGGGGGCAGGGAGACGGCTGCATACTTCACAGGTCAGGACAGAGTTAAAAACAAAACCGCAGCAAACTCAACACCCGTGTCCTTCAGGGACTTTCCATGACACCTTCCTTCCTCCTTCCCCCCCAAGCCAAGGAGTACCTCCCTAGAGGGCCTCCCCAGCCCAGGTGCAGTGGCTTTTGGCTTTTATGCAAACAACCGTCTGCCTGGGAATGCTCCAGGGGCAGAATTTATGGCCTGGGTGGGACATCTCACTTCACTATCCCCCTCAGGCCATTCCTGGTAGTCTGGAGCTCTGGTGTCTAATGCCCCTAAGGGGTTTTTTAAGGATGAATTTCAGGGAAGGGTACTTGGTCCTTTGCCTCTGTATCCTCAGGAGAGGCAGTTGCCTGCAGGTGGAGGTTTGTATCCTCCAGCCTTGCAGGTGGCCTGGGGTGTGGAGTGATGGGGGGGGGGGTTGGCTGCAGGTGTGAGGTGACCTCTCTTTCTGGGCCACCATCCCTCTAAAGCAACACTGGTCACTAGAGCTAGGGATGTAAAGTGTCCTTAGGCTGGGGAAAAAATGCTGCCTCCCTCCCAAAGTGTTCAAGACCCCCTGTCTTCCTCTTCTTCCCCCAGCTCCTTTTCCTTGGGAGGGAGTGGGCTTGGGACGCCACAAACACGCGGCTGGTTAACTAAGGGAAGGCTGCTTTTGAGTGATTTATGCTAAAATACATGGGCGGGCTGGCCCACCATTCCCATCTCCTGCTGTGGGAGGATTTGCTGGAAGTCCTCAAAGCAAAAGGGAGGAAGATGCTGCAATAGAGTTGTGGGAGTAGGGCACCCCACCACCAGCCCGCTCAAGGGCTGCAGAAGCCTCAAGACAGGGTGAGGGGGATATGTGCTTCCAACCTTTTGACATTGTGACAAGATGTTATCACCTACAAAGTTCACATCCAAGAATTGCACACGCTAATTAAACAAAATCTCAGTGTTTAAGTTTATGGCTTACGTGTTGGGGTGCACTCATAGTTATCCTTGTCCATACGTGATCCAGGCTTTTGAGTGAGTTTACATGAAACTGGCAGAAGACCAGACTTCTCATTCTCCTCCAGTTGTCTTGGTGTAAATATCAGGTAAACAAGACAAGGCTGTGTCACTTGTTTGGGAGTTCCCCATACCCCACTTCACCTTAGTTTAAGTCCGCAAGTATCTACAGACTGTATGTAACTTGTCTGAGTTTAATAAATTACAACGCAAGGTTCTCCCCGCTTCAGAGATCCACGGCTGCAAACAGCCAAGGCTTGCTTACCTGCCGATCTCCTGACCCTCCCTCTGCTGGAGAGGAGGATGGTGAAGCCTGGAATAAAAGGGCTGACTCTTCTGAGGTTGCTGATCCTGCTGTGTCCAGATCTTTGTCTGCTGGAATCCCCAGTGAGTTTTAAGACAGGACATTTGCATCCAGAACTCTGCTGAGGCCTCAGGGACCAGCAGGGCATGGTAGACAGGCTCAGCAATGTGTCTGGGAACTTTACTGACTCCAGTGGACTTCTGTGAAAATTCCACTAACTTTGATACTTTGGCTTTAAGGAAAAAAAAAAAAAAAAAAGACAAAATGATGGAAATAGTCCCCAAGGCAGAATGAAATCCCTCTGTTTTCTGACAACCACGGTGACAAATGATAAGCATGCAACGGGACTAATTTTAAACACACCAGGATTTTATTTTATTTTATTTTTTTATTTATCAGTGTCAAAATCAAACACAGTAAAGAAAACTTGACAATATCAGCAAGCTGTTTCATATAGAAGAAGATGCATTCTTTCTGTTCTGGCAAGGTTAGTACAGCTTCACTCAAAGTGAACTTTGGACAAACTTTATGAGGTGGGGAGTTTCTAACAGTGCAGTGCTCCCAATGGTGGGATTCAGGTCAAACTCCAGAGCAGGGGATGCGTCTGAGAAACACAGGCAAGGGGGAAAGGCCAATAGCATAGGCCTTGTGGCAACTTCTGGGTGAGGGTTCCCTGAGCCCCAAACCACCTTTTGTCCCTCCCTCATTGCTCTGCAGACGAGGGTCATCCACAGACCACACGTGTGGTGGCTTTGACAACCAGAAATTAAAAATAAGCTATGGTTTTTTCCAGTAGCCAAAACGATCCTTCCCCGGTGCTCACAGACTGAGAACCTGAACATAGAAAACCACAGTCTGGGTGAAGACATGTCTGCTTCTAAAATGACCTGCTAATTCTTTGCAACCCACAGTAATTTGGTTTCCGTAAATCCACAGAGGCAGGCCCACCAGGAAGAACCTTGCCTGCTAGCCTGGAAACATCCTCATATCGATGAGTCCTTGGCAGCCACATCAGTCATGTTTAAAGGCTGTCCCGTCTCCCTAACAGGTTAAAATGTGTGTGTCTTTTGAGGGAGGCAGAGAAACAAAGCTATGTTTGAGACAAGGTCAGGAGGTCCAGTCTGGGCTTCCGGGGATGGCTCACTGGAGTGATGGAGGGTGAGGACCCTATGGGAAAACTCTAAGACTAGGAAGGCTAATGGCTGTGTTCTCACAGCCAGGGAGGGAACAAAACTATGCTACTGTCCTGGTGAAAGGCCATTGAGTGTTCTATATGGATCACTCACATGGGCTCCAAGGCCAGCATATTCTCTAGCCTTGTGCAACACAATGATAAACGGTTAGGCATTAGTGGCCTCCCTCCATAGTGGAACTGGCCCTAATAACCAGACACAGAATTTACAGCAGAAAATTTATAACTAGACAGCATGATACCCCTCCCCCAAAGCAACTTTACTTTGTAGACAAGACTACAGCAAACCTCACAGCACCCTGGAAGGTAGATATCATTATGACCTTACATTTTTAATCAAAACATTAATGTTCCAATTTTGGATAATAGCTGGCATGATATCAATTAGTAAGACAGTCCACAGCTGGAATGTTTAGAGGAAACAGCGCATCCAACTTCTTCAAAAAGTGCAAACACCTGTTTAGCGTATGGATCGATGGCTTGGGTTATGGAGGTTACAGCTTGGGTAAGACAGAGGCAGTCTTACATTCTGAGCTCACCCTAAGCCAAAGCCCACACCCATCTTCTAGGCCCTTCCAAGTCCATTGTCCTTAGAGCCAGGGGTTCCCATCCCTGAATTCACTGATCATTCCCAAGGCCAGTCAGTCCTGCCATCTTAGGAAACAGTCCTAGGACCGCCTGGATTCAGCCTTTGGTTTCAGATAAAGAATGTAGATTCCCCATCATGTTGCCCAAAACACTGTCTATTGAGATTTCCTGTCTGTCTAAAATAGGGTCTTTATCCTTTGAGACATGACAGTGTATATTGTTCATCTGCTGAGGTTCTTGGTGCTGATTTTTAGGTTAAAACAAAAAACAAAAACAAAACTCACCCCTCTTTTTCCTTCCTGAGTGCAGAAGTCTTAATTCAAGGCTCCTGCTCCTTGAAGATGCACAAGCTTTTATAAGTCAGAACTGTCACATTTTCCCAAACTTTACTAGAGACCAGCATATCTTTCAGTGGGGTGGGGCACACCTTAGAGTGAGGACTATGGACCAACTTTATGGTCTTCCTGCCTGTCCTGGTATGTTTCAAAAGTATGATTTCTCTCTCATTCTCTTTTTCTCTTCCAGCTGACTTAGAAACCAGGGCCCCATTCATGCTAGCAGTAGGCAAGAAGCATTCTTGCACTGAGCTATACCCTAGCCTGGGAGTAAGGTTTGTCCCCTTGCAGCACACTACCCTTCACATTTAGTAAGGGGGACAAAGAAGCCAAGGAGAACAGTGATGTGGATCAACTTGGAAAACTTCTATGCCAATATGACATTTGTTAGTTATGTAACATTTCTATTAGTAAGATTTCGTGTTTTAAAATAGTCCTCTTTGCAAAAGACACCTGGGGCCATTTTCTTCAGGGGGGTGTGTGTGTGAGAGAGACAACCGAAGTCTTAAGCACATAAAAGGGGAGACATTTTGTCGTGGATGAACCCAGAAGCAAAGTCAGGAAAGGCTGAGAACAAGGCTAGCTGGCTTGTCGGTGCCCGCCTGGGCACTGGTTCTTTGGGGAACTGATTTAAGGCATATGGAGATCAGTGCATTTTCCCTCTTCTGTGGTAATGATGGGAGGGGGTGATTGGAAGGATGCTTACACTGAGTTCTGTGCAGCACTTCAAATCTTAGCTAAGAGTGTCTCCATTTCTACTCTTTCCACCCTTACCCCAACTCTGTCACCTTGGCTGCAATGGAACTTCTTGTGGGTTTAGCTGGTCCCCAGTTTGCAGCCCCCTTGGGTGTGTGGTTGGAGCCTGCTTCTAAGAGGGCTGGTGGGAAAGGAAGGAAAGACTCACAGGGTTCATGGAGGGGGGAGGGGAGCTTTGTGAGAAAGCTGAAGCTACCCCAGGACTTTACAGTCCCATAGAGGATGCAAATCCCTACCCCTTCTCACTTCAGCCCCCACCTCCATCAAGGGGGCCCTTGAGTAGCAGAAGGATCACATGCACTGGTGGTGCTAACCAGTGCATTAACCACGGCACCCCACCAGGCTCAATATCTACACTCAAGGTCTTCAAGCTCCTGTAGGACCCCTGCTGAGGCTCAGCCTGACTCCATGAAGTGTGCAAGTCACTCAGAAAGTGGCCTCAGGAGATAGAAGTCATTCAGCAAGTCCACGCCCACAGGACAGGGTCTGATCTGTGGAGGTTTCTGGGCTGGTAGAATGGTAGTTCACCATCTTGACAAAGTGTGTGTTTGTGTGTGTGTGTTTGTGTGTGTGTGTGTGTCTGTGTGTGTGTGTCTGTGTGTGTGTGTATGTGTAGCTGACTTAACAGCTCTCTGGTGGAAATGCCCATTTCTGCATCTTTTCCTTCTAGTCCTTGCTTTCCAACTCCCTCCCTCCCGTTGTGCCCCCTACCCCCACCAAGTCAACAGGATGTGAGCTATCTCAAGCATAGAATAGGCAGATCCTCTTTCACAATGGGCACAGACAATGTGGCAAAGCTCAGATCCAACTCTGCTGAGATGCAGTGGTGTGCTGAAGACGCCCGGCCCTTTGGCTGAAGCCTCAAGCACACAGAGCTGTTGCCATGGAATTTCATGCCCACCCTCTTCCCTATTTCCCTGAGACAAACACCATGCTACAAAGCAGGCTAAGCCATTTGAGTGTCTGAGGTGGAACATTTTAATTACTGGCATTGCATAAGTAAATGAGTTGAGTGAGAGCCCAATCCATAAGCCCTTTAGAAGGAAATGCTAATCTACCAGGAATTCGGGATCCTTGGCTGTGGCGGAGATGTTCATAAAGCTAGCTCTTAATTTGTAAATAGGCTCCATGGAGCTGTCCCTGTAAGCAGAACTTATTTTCCCTAACACAAGTTCTTAAAAAGGAAAGAAAAAAAGATCCTTTGCAAGCAGCTGTAGATGCCAGTTTGTGTGCACATTTTGGCAAGACCAGATCACCTTCCTGTTCTCTGTCCCTCCTCAGGCTCTCCTCATGTTCATGACTCAGTGGCTGAAGGAAAAACTTAATGCACTTACATTTCCACACCAAAGACATATGAAGTCCATTTCCATGTGCGGTCCCTTCTGCCTGATGCCCACACGTCAGGAGGTTTAAAAATAACCTGTGGTTACTGAATAATCGTGTATCAAAACTGTGAGGGACCATCAAGAAGGTCTAAATCCAACTCTTATTTTATGGTTGAGGAAATTTAGCCTTTAGAGTTAAATGATTTGTACAAAAGCACATCACACACTAATTAGTAGCAGATACAAGCTTAGCACACTCGTTTTGTGACCTCTATCCCAGGTCGCCTTGATGTCTTGGTGTCTTTGTGTGTGGTGACAAAGCTGGCTGGTCCATCTACAGAATGAGCGAGACTTCCAAGACTCTCATGGAGTGTGGCAGTTCCAATTTAAGAGAGCAAAATCCCCAAACGCTGGTGGTGATCATGTCTAACCCCAGCACTTGATAGACTGAGGCAGAAGGATCGGAGCAGCTGGCAGTGAGCTTGAGGCCCATCTAGGCAGCAGGAGAGCCTGTTTGTTTTTTTGTTTTTTAAATAAAGCCACACGTGTCTAAGCTGACCTTGCAGCACCCTGGTCAGAACATCTATGGTTCCCATCCCTGATCTCACTCCTGTGGGGTGAGGGATGCTGAGCGGTACATTCTGGGTCCTCTGTGCATGTGCACGTGTGAAATCACTTTCAAATGTTCTTTGGGTTTTCAACCAGCACTCCACTAAGGTGACAAGGACTACCAACCCATGTGTTCCTACACACTCTGCCAATCTTTCTTTTCCCCCCTTTTCTCTCTTTCCCATTTGTGCCCCAGTGCTGGGGGTTGAACTTGGCAAACACTGTACCACTAAGCTATGCCCCTGGCCTGCTCTGCCAATCTGTCAGAGGATACCACCACCCCTCAGTGGATGACTCTTGGGTGTCAGTGACACTCAGTTTTTAAAAGCATTAGTTCCTCTGGTGTAGAATTTCCTTCCAGACAGCTGGCCTCAGGTTTTCCCTGGTGATGGGCAGGTGAAGCAGAAGGGTCATCAGATGGCTTCTGTTCAGTTTTGCTTGTGTGATAGGACGTGAACTGAAGCTCTGAGAATAGGCTCTTCCATTACTGGCAGGAGGTACTTAACTTGATGGCTGTCTCTTTCTTACTGTTAGGCTGGGAAGGGAGGGAGGAGATTAGGTTCTAACCCTTCTGGCTTGTGCTAGTGCCCAAGGGCAAGGGCAGCTGGTCAGCTCTTCCACTGTGTGGATCTGGGCATAGGATCAAAAGACTTTTCCACATATGGCTGCTATGTCCCAGCGAATGTCTCCTGCAGCCCACCGAGGACTGTTCCAGTTGGCAACAAGCTCCAGCGGATGGCTGTCTATTGCTACAAAAGATAATGAACCAAATACTTTTTTGGCTTTTAAACCCCATCAAATTCAACTGATGGGAAAGGAAGGTTTCACAAAGTAACATGGTGGCTCTGCGAACAGTTTCTGGATGAAGACAGCGTTTCCCTGACTGCTTGTGAGAATATGACTGAGTGCTAACATAACTGGGCAGGACTGTGGGTTTGAGTTCAGTCTACTGGGTAAGGCTATATCATCAGAGTGTGAGCTCAGAGACTGACGCTCACTTCAACATGGCTCTGTGTTCTCCTCTGGCGATGTGAGAGGAGAACTCGTAGCGATCGTGGCTTCGGTATCCACACATGTTACACTCGAAAGGGTCACGGAAGCCATGGCACCCCATGTGGATGGTAAACATCACATAATCTAGGAAGAGGACATGACAGTGGTCACACCGAAACACATCCATCACCTCCCCTTCTTTGCTGATCACTTTGATGGAGTCTCTCAGGCAGATGGGAGGGGGCTTCAGGAGTTCAAAGGAGCGGGGAATCTCCTTCAGAAGGGGCATCCCATTGCGGGCCTGGGGAAGGACCATGTGGCTCTGCTGGTAGACATGATTCTGGCGGTCCTCGTGGTTGCTGTCGGTGTCTGTAGAGTCGTGGGCACTATTATTGGGGGACAGACCTCGTTCAGAAGGCAAGCTCTTCTCTGGCAAGAGGATTCTTTTCTTCTCCAGCTCCTGTGGGGCCCCATTGGGCACATCGGCCCGGGTGAGTGCTGTAGGGTACATGCTGCTGATGACTGGGACCATCTCAGAGGTGGGAGCAGGGGGAGTTTGGACTAAGGGGCGAAGAGCTTCAGCCCCAAGATAGCTGATGGCATTATTGATGGCTTGGTCCATCATTCGGGTCTGCATCATCTCACTCTCCTTCTCGTACATGTAGCTGGGATTGTAGCTGATATCAAAGCAGTGGCGCTTCTCACCTGGGACGAGTAAGAGGCAAGGGTTACAGAGAGCGGGGACAGTTGTTTTCCAGAGCCCTCCAGAAGTGAGGAAGGGCACAGCCTTGGTGGGGGGTGCTCCACTGCACAGGGAGATCGTCTCCGGAGGTGCCGTCCACCGGCCGCATAAGCGAATTGTCAAAATTAAGACGGGGCAGAAAGATGCCACTAGGTGAAGCCACGCTGTGAGGAGTGGCTGCTGGAGAAAGGGGGAGGGGCACAGGAAGCAAAGACAAGCAGGAATGGGTGGGCTGCCACTGAGCAGGGACCCAGGGCCTCCTCACGCTCATGGCAGCACTTCTAAAACGTTGCCACCTTCCAAACTGTTATGCGTGGTGGCACATGCCTGTAGTCCCAGCACTTGGAAGGCAGAGGCAGGTGGATCTCTGTGAGTTCGAGGCCAGCCTGGCCTACAGAGTTCCAGGACAGCCAGAGCTGTTACACAGAGAAACCCTGTCTCAAAAAACCAAACTTATTCAGCCTGTAATATTAGGTACTGCAAAGAGTAGGGGTTTCAGTGATTAGCCTCAGCAACTTGCAGCTTGGCTCTCTCCTAACTTATTTTATCCCCTCCCCCTACATTTTTTTTTTTTTTTTTTTTAAGATAGGCAGGGTTTTGTGTATCCCAGACTAGCCTTGAACTCAAAATACAGCTGAAGATGACCTTGAACCCTCTTGATGCCTCCACTTTTCAAATGCTGAGAGAACAGGCAGACACCACCAAGCCTGGTCCTGGGGATGCAACTCTGGGGCTTTGTACATTCTAGGCACACCCTCCATCGATCGACTGACACCCCAGTCCTAGGAAAGACACTTAAACAACCTCTACCCATTTCTTAAAGTATTGCTTTTGGGGAGTGGATGGAGGCTTGTTTGTAATTGTTTTAAGACAGGGTCTCTCTCTGTGTAGCCCAGAGTGCCCTTTAACTCATTATCCCCTCCTCAGCCTCCTAAGTGCTAAGATGAGAAGCTGGGGGTGAATCCACCACGCCTGCCACTTGGCATTGATCTTTGATTGACAGATGTATCCTTGTTACATCTGGATCCTTAGTTCTCATTGCACACCTAGTGGAAGAAATTTTCTTGTGGTCACCCTCTCCACTCTCCTGTCAAACGGCTGAGAAACTCTGAAAACAGCAGGAAAGAGAAGGAGGCCCTCTGGCCCTGGAGCAGGTAGGGCGCCATCAGCGGTGGTGGCTTCCACACACTGTGGCACTGTGGCACATGGCACGTGGCACGGGAAGGGACGGCAGAGTGTGGGAGATGGGATGGTACTGCATGGGGTTCCTTAGTCCCCATGTTAACGTTTGCTGTGCTGTGTCCTTCTGTAACATTCCCTGGGCATTCCTGGGTTGCAAGTTTGTCAGGGCTCACAGAGAAGGGTCCAGAAAGCAAAGAAATAGCACCCTAAGAAAACACAGAGATCAGGGGACACACTGCCTCCATTCTAGCAGGACAGAAACAAGATGTTTAGGCAAAAACAAAACAAAACAACAGCATAAAACAAACAAACAAACAGACACCCAAAACTGGAGCTAAACTATGGTGTGGATTTTCTGGAAGGACTTTATCTACGAAGGCGTGTGATTTTATTCTAAATGCCCCATTTGAGGTTTGAATCAGGGAGGACCTCATATTCTGTTTAAAAAAAAAAAGAGGGTTGGGGATGCATTGTTGCCAGTTTTCCGGACTCTTTCCTTCTACCAGGTCCTCTACCTCACCCAGCCTTAGTAAGAGAGGAGGTGCCTAGTCTCATTGCATCTCGATAGGCTGTGACTGGATGATATCCACGGGAGGCCTGCCCTTTTCTGAAGAGAAACCGAGGATAGTGCATGGAAGTGGGGGAGAGGAAGGAGGGGAAAGTTGGGATATAAAAACAGATTTAAAAGGGGAGTATTATAAGATCTCATATAAGCAAAGGGAGACCTTTTGGTATCGACTGTATATTTCAACATTAAGGGGACGTAAAAATTTCAGAAGAACTCTGGGCAAGAAATGAATTCTTGGAAAAATCTAACTCTTGAGGAGGGTCTTGATGAACTGGCAGGATCTGGATTGTTCTGTCTGAGGGAGAAGATGAAGGCTGAAAGAACATGGGCAGCAAGACAGAGCTGTAGAAAGAAAGGGTTTCTCAAACGCCACACAGCCTCACACTGTAATGCCCACACACCGGGGTAGCTTCGGTGGTGAGACATGCTTTCGTCATAGTTTGGACTGGCTTAATCCTGGTTCCATCGGCTACTAGCAGTGTGCCCTTGTGTGAAATGAACAGCCAGTCCTCACAGGGCCACTGGAAAGCACCGAGGACAGTGCCAGCACACACACACACACACACACACACACACACACACACACACACACACACACGCCAGCATTCCCTCCCTCCCTCCCGGGCGCCCCCTCCCTCCCTCCCTCCCTTCCTTCTTTTCTTCCCTCTCTCCTTCCTTCCTTTCCTCCTTCCTTCCTTCCTCACTTTAGTTATTTGCTTCGTGTGTGTGTGGAGGGGGCATATGTGTGCCCAGGCATGTTTGTTGAGGTCAAAGGACAACTTGTAGGTGTCTACCATGTGGGACCTCAGCTTAGAACTCGGGTTGCCAAGCTTGACATCAAGTACCCTCATCTGCTGAGCCATCTTACTGGCCCTAGTACTTACTCTCTTCACTTCTAGGTAAGTTGTATCCCATATTGTGGGAAAGAAAGGTCTGAAGGAAAAAGCAAAAAGAAAGAGCTAGGCCTATGACCCCAGCTACTCCCGAGGCTGTCTGGGCTACAGAGGGAGTTCAAGACCAGCCTGGGAGACTTGTGAATCTTTTGTCAAGACAGGTCTGGGGATATAGCTCAATGATAGAGTGCTTGTCTAGCATGTGTGAGGCCCCAGGTTCAATCTGAATATCATGATCAAACAGACAACCCTTGAAAACACACAGTAGGGCCAAGTGACAGACACTCTGAATACCACACAGCAAGTGCCAAATGCCGTTAAGGAAAGGAGGCTGTGGTGACTGTAACAGCCGCGTGTAAAATGTGCCAGAACAAGGCTGGAGGCAGAGAGGCCATCGGGGAGATCCAGCCCCTCGGATGCATTTACCTTGCTTCCCCGTTATCTTCTGGGCATAGGACTTTCTAAACTTATATCTGAGAGAAAAAAAGAAACCAAGGAGAAGAAAAATGCCCTAACTTGGCAACTCACTAGGAAACGACAGAAATGGGAGTTTGCCAAAGTAACCATTTCCAGCTCCCTTGATGACTGCTGACTGCAGCAATGACACAAAACAGACAACCCTGAGTTCACACAGACAGGCTCATTCCCCTGGAAATGAAGCAGAATCGGCAAAATCCGGTTTCTCAGTCTGTCTGGCCCTGCAGAACTGCCTAAGTACGGGAGGTGTCCAGTGTCTTTTCATATGACAGGACAGGCTCTGGGAAGTTTCCAGGGCTGGGCAGGCACATTGCCATCTCCTTTTGTTCCATCCTTTCTCCCAGGAGTGTGTGTGCTTTGGGCTTTTCTTACCCAAGCCGGGTGAATTCATAATCCTTGCTTCCCACAGCACCTCTCAGCAAGCAGCTAGGATGCCACAAGTGGAAAGAAGCAAGGCGGGGGGGGGGGGAGGACAAGCCCCTGGAAGAATGGAAACAGGTGCCTGAGTTGTGTGGTTAGCACAGACCATTGTTCAAGGTGGAGAGCAGAGCGCCTCAGATCTTCATGCACACGGGCTCACCCTGATCAGATCCCCTCATCTCCCAGTTACCGTAACCTGATCGCAGCAGATGGTTATCAGTCACCTGCAGATCGGATGACTCAATGTGTATGAAACTCCGAAGGGGTAGGCTACAGTAATTGAAAAGCCAATAGCTCACGTTTCTTTAGTAACACACTCATAAAAAAGGTTGTCAAACCACAAGAGTATGACTGCTTCCAAGGCGGCTCAGAGCCTCGGGTCCAGATCTAGTCAACTCGAACCACACCTTTGAATGATTCATGATGCCAGTCAGACGGAACAGAGGTTTTCTTCTGATGAAAACACAAATGGCAACAATGAGTACTAAATGAAGAATTCCAGCCTGCCTGGTTGGGTCATTCCTTCCTCAGGAGCCCTCTTAAAGGTGCTCCGCCTATATGTCAGTGATTCTCAAAGAACGTCTGCCCGCCTGCGTTGATGCAATGGCGGGGGAGGGTGGGGCTGGAGGACACGGTCATTGGTTTTGACTGTCAACTTGGAAGCCTGGAATCATAGACTGGGCATGCAGACTTAGAACTGTCTCAGGGTCTAGGGTCAAGACCCACTGCAGAGTGCATTCACTTCTGGTTCTTACATATAAGATGCTAATGACAAAACTACCTTTATTGAGGCTCTGCAGTACTGGATGTTGTGTTAGAGACTTAGATCAGTGCCCCACTTTATCAGTCCTCGAGGTTGGTAGCTTTTAAGGTGGGCTGTCATCTCTCACAGATGAGGAAGTGACAGCTCAAACAGCGGCTTCACTTTCCCAAGGGCGTCCATGGTGAACGGAGAACCAGTGTAATCCAAGACTCACATCTCAGCACATGCTAGAGGCGTCCTTGCCCATGGTGGCTCAACCCTTCACAGGCAGTGACATACTCTGCTGGGATAGTTCCCAAAGCTGTGGCAGAGGGCATTTAGTGGCAACAACCGTGGCACTTTATTTTTTTTTTTTCTCACAGCCATCAGCATACACATGTGGGAAGCATCCATGATGCCTGGCACACGCAGCACTCATAAGTGATGGCCTTCTGTTGGTACTTAGGCTTTGGGAAACAGACATCATTGCAACCCTACAAACAAGATGCCACATTTGCATCACTTCACTATGAGGCAGCAGCCTCCACCCTGGCTGCATGGAGGAACCAAGTATACCACAGAAAAGAGGGGCCAGGGGGAGAGAAAACTGTGGGACACTTCAAAGATGTGCTGCAGATGGCATGGGCACATATGCGTCGGTTATCAAATGTCTATCATCTA